GGCCTGAACGACAACAAAAGGCAAAAATCGCTTGGCACAGAACGTGTTAAAGAAGGGTAGATCCTTGTGTTTGTCCTTGCAAATACAACGTGCTTCTCAATCACTAACCTCTCTCACTAACTCCTCTGTTCCGAAATCTATCATCTGCTTCGTTTCTTGCTAACGTCTACTAAATATCTAATCTTTAACCCCTTGACATACGAATTCTTTCTGTAATATTCAGAATTTACCAGCAGTCGCTTTGTTAAAGCATTTTTTTTTTCTATTATTAATGTATTTTATATCTTTACCGAATCTTTATTATCATATATTTAAATGATAATTATACATTTTCTTTCTCGAAATTTTATACAACTTACAAGCTGATTATTTTTAAAGAAACCCAACTTAAGGTAGAATATTTTGAAAGCGAATATTATTCAATCTACACGTTTAGTTACGTATAAAATTTGTTGCAGAAATTACTCAAGTACAAAAAAGAAGTTTTGGTATGAGATCAATTGATTCTTATATATAATTCATTAAAAGATATCTGTTTATAACGTTAAATTGGTAATTCTTGCATCAAAATTTTAAAGCATTATTGTATGTAAGTATTAAGGACATCAAGCATTTAAATGTCCTACAAAAGACTTACGTTAAACAACTTAAGAAGTAGATACAATTCACAAGAGATTCCTGATCTTTTTACATCTTTACATAATTATTTGTGAAAAAATTTCATAGGATTGTCATAGGCGTTGAAAAGAGCCGTATCAAGCATGTAGAAAAATATCTTTTTATATCCTTATACACGTCTCAGAGACGTCGTTATCAACTTTAGTTTAGTTACAAACTTTAGCAGACATCTTTATTGTATGTCGAGGGGTGTCTGAAAATTGTCTGAATACTAACTTGAAGATGAAATGAACGAGAACGTGGAAGCGTTCGATTTTGTAATCGGAGGGGGTAGGCAAAGAGCGCGCCTTCAAATAAAACAAAGAAATCGAAAATCTCAGGAAACGTAAAACTTTAGAAATCCTCGAAAGCGCGAAAATACAAAAAAAAAAAAAAAAAAAAAGAAAAGAAAAATTCGCAAAGTCGCGAAGTATCGAAAATCCGCGTATAGAGCACGGTTTTGCCTGCCCCTGACGCGTTCGAGAGAGAAAAAACCGGCTGCTGATCCGCAGATCACCCCCTAGAACACGACGAAGCTCGGCGTCGAGCGTTGGCTCGTGCGCGGGCACGGCGCAAAATCAGCACGCGGCCAGAAGCGTCTCCAGCAATCGGTCTCGATCGCCCACGCCCCATCAGCCTGTCAACAAGCAACAGCAGCAGCAATCGAACAGCGACGAGCAACGAAAGATCAACCGATCGAGGAGCCCAACGCCGCAGAGGAAGTTCCTGGGCAGTCCCGGCCATCAGCCGGACTTCGGCAAGCAACAACGATCCAGATCGCCGACACCGAGGCCTCAGCTCAGATCCAACAGCCCGACGACCAAGCTCGAACACGCGAAATCACCCGGATCGCACGTGGACTCGCCTGCTAGAAGCTCGAACGACGAGTCTCGTTCGCCGACTCATCACGGAAGGCATCAAGAAGCTAAGGTGAGCGAGGGTTGTTTCAGATTTAGGGAGATCTAAGGGAGCATGGCTTCAGGGTGGAGTTATTTATGGGTGTAGTATTGGAGATTTGGGGGGACGTCGCAGTATGCTTTAGGCGTTTATGGGGTGAAACAGGATTTCTGATAGATTTCAAGATATACCTCCCACTGTGCGGAGGAGTTATTCGAACTTGCGAGCGATGAGAAATTAATCAAGTGACGACGAGCTTCGGATTTTCAATTCTTGGGAAACGGCACGCGTAGTTTAACTGTAGCTGCTGTTCACTTTGACGAGGTTAAAAATTCTCTAGGGATGGTCGAATCATTGATATTGTGTATATATTCGTGTATTGTTTATAAAATAATCATCCAATTTCTCCACGTAAGAAGTTAACTTTTATATATATATATATATATATTTATAAAACGGTTATCTAGTTTTTCTCCACTTTAGAAGAAGTTAAATTTTAAAAATTTTTAAACATGTCAAGAGAACCCTAGATCTCACCCTTCTAAAGAGGAATAAGAGGAGTTCGTCGATTTGTTCGTAGGATGCGAAGAACGTCCAAGAGGCGCGCACGAAAGTGCCCCTGACGGAGGAGTTCACGAAACGTTACGTGGTGGACGGTGGCGTGGCCCGTAGAACAGTGGAGAGAGACGACACGCCAAAATACGAGCCGACAATCTACAACTACAAGTGTCGCGAGGACTCGAGTAGTCGCAGCCCAACCCCGAGTCCACCGGCAATCAAGGAGCCGGTGTTGGAAAGTTTCAACAAAGACGTGACCGGCAATGTACACTATACAAAGTCACCGCACGACGGGGAGCATTCGGACAATTGCAGCGAAGTGTCCGACGAGGGTTATCGAAGCTTAGGCGCGGTTCAGCCAGCTAGTGGAAATGGAAATCCCGCGGCGTGCACGCAGGGTGGTTCGCCTACGGTTGCCGATTGTCAAAGTGAGTGCAATTTTCTATGTTGATCTCGTTTTTCACCTTTGATTTTATCTTACATATCGACGATAATTAATGTTAATTATGTAATTGAGTTCCATTGGATTGGAGAATTCTTAAGACATTGAAGTTAAGCGACTTTCGAGTCCTCTGTTTAGGCTTCTAACTCACGCAGAATCTGCGAAATGTCAGTTGTTTATTGTTGATAAATATGGAACTCGAGTGATGCAAATATATTCTTCTTTGAATAAAAAATTTAGTAGATTGGTTATGGCGAGATAACTTTGAAGATATAACAAGAATATAATAGAATATAATATTGTATAGTGTAGTATAGTAGAATAATAGAATAGAATATAATAGTAGAGATATAGTA